TTAATAAAATAGCTAGTGATAGCTATAAACGCCTAATTATATAGAGAAGTCTAGTAATCTAATACGATCGAGATTTTTACGTCGTTAGGTAGTGTTTAGAGGATAGATTTCTATCGTTCTATAATAATATTATATAAACAACGACGTATTATAGTAGTAGAAGGTATCGGATGGAGAGATAGTGTAGAGCGGGCTAATCGGAATAGCTTATAGATTAAAAGGTATAGGTTATAATATTATATAATTAGCTATATAAGCTCTATTTAAATAGGTCTAATCTAAGAGAACCTAATAGGACCTATCGAAACCTAAGAGAACCTATATATAACCTACTCCCCTAGAAGGTCTTTTCTAACCGCGGTTAGAAATAATAATATATACACCTATCTACCTCCTAGAAGTGATTTTCCGACCGCGGTTAGAAAATTTAATTTAGAGTACGTATAAGAAGTTAAATATAAGAGAAGAGAAATATAGCTCTAATATAATATTAGTTATATATAAAATTAAATAAGAATAAGATATTTCTATTTATATTTATAGTTATCCTATACTATATATATACTCCCCCTCTACTATAAATATATATTTTTAATAGTCTATAGTCAATAAATACTTAAATTAATAGAACACCACTATACCATGATTAATATCAATTTTTATCAGTAATTAATATAATATAAAGCCTATAAGCTTTAAATCTAGGGTAATTACATAAATTTTCTAACTCAACATTATGATCATATAGCAATATTCGATAAACAAACTAGAATAGTTATAATAAACAGTAATTTATTTAAATGACTTAGCATTGTTATGAACGCTAAGACCTATATTTTATGCAAAAATGGGTTTAAATAGGTTATTATTGGGTTATTAGGTTTAACCCATTGGGTTTTGGGTTGGGTTGGGTTATAGAGGGCGGAACCCAAAATGGGTTCTGCCGAAGTCTACTTATTATATAAGGTGCTACACTACTCGCTAAAGAAAATAAGGAATTACGCGCTAAAAACGAGAAGAAGAAGTAAAAGCGGACCCGATATTTAAGGTATATAGATCACGAAGGAGATCTTTTAGTTTAGGAGGTTCGTGAGCTACGTTTAGAGCTATTTAAGGCCTAAGTAGCGCGTATTAATACCTATCGTGAGCGGGTTTCGGAGGGTTTATAGCTAGCTACATAGGCCGGGCGAGCGTATAGAATATACAGATTACCGGGACATAGAAGAGAAACCTATCTAGATAGATACATCAATTTAATTGAATTAATTTAATGGTGTTTTGGTTGAGATAAATCAAGTTGAATTTAATGGGCTGGGTGAGGTGGCCAGCTGGCTTACATGGCCAGCTCGCTTACCGAATACGTTATAGGTTAGTTGGGAAAAGTGACTAGCGGGGGACATACCCGAAGTAGCTAGCGCAGAGAGTGTGTCCGTAGCCTTAAGAAAAATGAGCGAAAAATATAGAATATGCTGGAAAAGGGGAAAAAAAGCGTAAAATGTCCTACTTTTCCATGTATACACGACAGGAGTAGATGGCTGCTTATGCAGCCTTGTGTAGTCTTTTTGGTAGTCCTTTCTAGGAATATTCTCAGTGGTGTCAGATATTCTCCGTTCTTTTCATGTCTTTTTCAATGATATTTTGTTCCCCCTTTCCAGTTCTATACAGAAAGAAAGCGGCAAAAGAAAGCGGTAAGAGGCTTAAGTGACTTTTCTGTATATAACCTAGGATTAGGACTAGGACTACCTGGTACCCGGATCATACATACTATCTAGGTATATCTGGATCGAGAAAACTGTCGGATAAGGCGGTCTCAAAAGTATGTAGAGTAAAGATGAACAAGACAAAGACATAGGTATCACATTTTTACCCCAACACCATATGCTGATATCTCGATAGAGCAAGATAAGTGCAGGGTGTACACACACTCACCCTAGAGCACCCACTAGACCCGCGTGAAGAAGTAAAGATATGCGGTCTTCTTCATCGCTTCGATATCTTCGAACTTGACAACCTTTTCATCATTGAACATCACCCATGACAGGCCACTTTGACCTGCCAATGGTTTGCGAATCAAGGCAACATAATGTCTAGCATGTGTTAGTCTAAGCAAAGGAAATGAGAACGGAGACATATCAAGCCACCCACCCTGCATGAACTGATGTGCCTTTGTGGCATACAATCGACCTTAATTCATAGCGAGCAGGTAAACTGGTGAGCCCAACTGAGCCACCATGAGACTGTACGCTATGGTCAACATTCGGGTTTTCCCTTTCCACCACGTCCTCCGGGTGAGTGAAAACCCAATCTAGTGCCCTGTTAACATCGCCATCGGTCGCAGCCAACGCTCTCTTGGCACGAGACGCCTCAATGCCCATATCTCCTAGCTGGGCAATTTTTGTCGCGTCTTGCTCACTAGAACTAGAGGTGCCGGCTCGATCAAGAGCCAGCGGTTCGTCGATGTCTGGATCTTCCATGTGGGCAAACAGCCAATTCATAGCAGTTTCCGGATCTACATTACCAGTGGCATGCAGAGCTTTCTCACACCTCACAGCAGGGAACCCCATACCCATGAGTTGGTCGAGAGCTTCCGGATTCGGGACGAATGCGGTGGATTCCTCAATATCCGGAAGTAGCTCCTCACCCGCATCATGCGCACTAGCAAGGTAAGAGCTGAAATCTAGTGGCTTGTCGTCGACCAGCACAGGAATATCCAACTTTGTAGGAACCCAGTTGACGAGCTCAAACCGACGAGCATTGATCACCAATTCCTGAGGCAATGTTTTGAAAGACGACTGCTTCGAAAAACCACCTTGGCTGCCACAAGCAGGACATGTAAGCTCAACGACCTCCGCCGAAGTGAAGATGTCTAGACACTCTGACAAATCCACAGACTCATATTCCTTTCCTGTTTCGTCAGAAGTGGCGGCAAGACGTGCAGGAACCGCAACCGAGATGTTGTCCTGCTCATCCACTTTATATCGGACTTTCTTGCAATGCAAACACTGAAGACGCTGTTCAACTTGGAAGCGAAAGTGCTCTACCGGGTTAATCTGCGGACTGGTGTGTTTTGATAGGGCGACCGACTTGAATAGATGAAGAAGGAATTCAAATGCATCTTGCTGTCTCATGGTTGCGAACTCCTCGTGACCTTGTCCAATAAGATACTTGAACATCGCTGGTGCTAAACCTTTCTGATGAGCGACTTCTGGGATGTCCGTGGACAACATAACCCGAGAATCAGGCTGGGAGTACCGGCCTGAGAGTAGACCGTCGGCAAGTTTTTGCATTTGCGTCTCGAGGTCCTGTGCTGGTGCCTGGCAGAGTGGTGGTTCTTCTGGCAGTTGATAGTATCGCTCACGAAATCCAGTCACCGAAAATATGCATTGCATGATACTGGAGAGGTAGCAGCTGTTTCCGAGATTTGCCAGGCCTGTAAATGCAGGCCCAAAGACTGGAGCCAGCTCCCGGCCATCCTCGGTTGTCATGGAAAATTCCCATTTTAAGTTGTGCTCGACCTGCATTTCCATCAGACTCTTCTCTGTCTTTTCACGTCCAGCCAAGTAGATTCCCCAGTGTGCAAGGTGGGTCGCCAGTTCTGGGTCTACTCTTTCTTCGTTGCACTTATAGCAGTAAACATCAGCGGAGCCTTCTGCTGTGATAGAGCCGAGCTTGACAGCCACAGCATGTGATGTCGAGTCTGCGTGAGTAAGCCCATGTGAGTTTCCCTTGCTTCCACCGAATTGACTTCGCCCACAACCCTTGTTCCCACATTCCAGACACAGCCAGAGGTTCTCGCCCATGTCACATTCTGAGCAGTGGCTTAAATCTGCAATTTCAGGTTAGCACGGAGCCCAGTTAAGTTTTGCAGGGAATCAATACCCGTTGACGTGGCTTGCGTGTTGTCCTGTTGAACTAGACACAGTGTATGCTCGCAAGGAACAAACTCTTGCTCCCAAGCTTTGACTTCTTCCTTTTTTGAGAAAGTCATTGCGTTCATAACACCTGCGATGACAACAGGAAGCTTGCCGCTAGCTTTGTCCACATTGTTTTGAGAGCATGAATAGCACACCACTGACGTAGCAATGTCATACCTATCCTCTTCTGTTTCAGCTGCGATAGAAAGCTTTGAAATCTTCGGGGAGGCTCGTCGCGCTATAAACCAGAGGTGTGAGAATCTTTCGTCACAAGCTCGACAAGTATTCGGAGACTATACCTGCACTTTCTTGGGGGTCCTTCGAATGTTCAAAGCTAGTGAATGACCAAATCTCTTGTAGTGAAGCAGGGCATGGTCTCTGTTTCCAGCACATCCACCATTGAAGCAATGGAGACAAACATTTAGACCGGCATCATCGTCCTTGTAAGGTCAGAGTTAGACCAGATGTGGAGTAGTATAGGAACCAAGGTGGCTGGCATACAATAGAATCAAAGCACTGAGTGCAGTCTTCTCGATAAACTGCCTGGGAAGATCCTGGTGGATTCAGATCTATAAAATGTTTTTAGCTCGATTTGTCCTTTGATTATCAAGGTGATGTCACAAACCCGCAGCATCGGTATGGACACAAGAGGCCATATCCACAGAGGAAACCTCGGAGACTCAACAAAGACTTGCTTGGCTTTGAATAGAGGCTTTAGAAGGTGTGACAGTATCCCATTGACAGCAATGAGAAAAGAGAATATGTATCAGATACCGGAGATCAAGCCAAAGCTACGATGCGTGGGGTCCTTCCTCACCGCCTGCACGTGCTGTTATCAATGTTGTCCTGAGGCATCAAGTCATGTGGTGGAGGGGCGGTTGTGCCACTTAACGCGTTATTTTTCTCAACACGCGTTCCAACCTTGTCCTATTACTACTTTACAACTTGATCTGGACTTAACCAAGTCCAGTCTTTTTTATTTCTTCTTCCTCCCCCCTGATTCACAATCCACTCTATTTTTTTCAGTCTTCCCCCAATACTTCTTTCTTGACTGTCTCAATTATTGAAATTTGAAGCCATCACATAATGGCTTCTGAGGCAGCATCCCAAGTCACCATTGGGGCTTTAAGGTTTGTATCTATTTGATGCAAAGATTCTGTATGGCAGTATATATGTTAATCGCGTGTTTAACAGTGCCATCTTTGATGAAACGAAACCCCAAGTTCGAGAGCCGATTGTTCAATGCGTTCAAATCAAGGCATTGCCAGCTCAGCCGGGCCAACCAGAACGTTACCGGGCCGTATTCAGTGATATTGCAAATTATGTTCAAACCATGCTTGCTACTCGTATGTGCTGTCCTCTTGGTACTCTTTGTAACTCATCGCTTATTGACTGCCTCAAGAAGCCAACTCGGTGGTGACAGATGGATCTCTCCGGAAGGGTTCTTTCGTGCGTCTCAAGTCATTTCAATCAAACTCTGTTAAGGGCAAGAAGTATGTGAGGCAATTCTTTCGATTTTGATTGTGCTAATTATCCCAGAATCCTCATTATCTTGGATCTTGAAGTTCTAACGGAACTGGGTGAGGCTGAAAAAATTGGTGAACCCAGACCACTTGAAGTCAAAACCGAGGAAGAGGAAGTGGGGCAACCGACAACAATATCCAGCAATGGGTTTTACGGCTCCAAGATGGAGGGTGCACCGGTTCAGCCAAATAACCGAGTTCAGCCAATGCCTGCCCCTATGTCTACTTCCTCTGCCCATGCCACAATCTTTCCGATTGAAGCCATCTCCCCGTATTCCAACAAATGGACGATGAAAGCGCGATGCACGAGCAAGTCCAACATCAAAACATGGCACAACAAGAATGGCGAGGGTAAACTGTTCAGTGTGAATTTACTGGACGACAGTGGTGAAATTCGTGCAACCGGTTTCAATGAGCAGTGTGACATGCTCTATGAGCTCTTCCAGGAGGGAGGTGTTTATTACATTTCGAGTCCCTGCCGGGTCCAAATTGCCAAGAAACAGTTCACAAATCTCAACAATGATTATGAGCTCACATTTGAGAGAGATACCATCGTCGAGAAGGTAAAATCTCTTTCTTTATCAACCAAATGCGTCGCTCATATTTTATAATAGGCCGAGCAGCAAAACGATGTCCCTCAGATTCGATTCAACTTCACCACCGTTGCTGATTTGCAGACCGTTGAAAAAGACACAATCACTGATGTCATTGGCGTGCTGAAGGATGTCGAGGAGACGTCCCAAATTACATCCAAAAGTACCGGAAAGCCCTATGACAAACGTGAGGTTACGCTGGTCGATAACACAGGATTTTCTGTCCGCCTGACAATTTGGGGTGCATCTGCAATCAATTTTAGTGTGGCGCCCGAGTCTGTTGTTGCCTTCAAAGGAGTCAAGGTTTCTGACTTTGGTGGAAGAAGTCTGAGTCTTCTGAGTTCGGGCTCAATGACTGTTGACCCTGACATCGGGGAGGCTCACCGACTCAGAGGTTGGTATGACGCCCAAGGCAGGTCGGAGAACTTCACATCCCATGCTTCATTGTCAAATGCGGCCAACTCCACAGGCAAAAAGGATCCGTTCAAAACTATTGCTCAAATTCGCGAAGAGCAGCTGGGCATGTCTGAAACTCCTGATTACTTCTCTCTGAAAGCAACTGTGATCTACATCAAACAGGATTCCACCTGGTGCTACCCTGCCTGCCTTTCTGAAAACTGCAACAAGAAGGTAACGGAACTCGATCCAGGACAGTGGCGGTGCGAAATGTGTGATAAGACCCACCCCAAGCCAGAGTACCGCTTCATCATGCCTATTAGTGTCAGCGACCATACTGGCCAGCTTTGGCTCAGCTGTTTTGACGACACTGGAAGAAACATCATGGGCACATCTGCTGATGAACTAATGCAACTTCGCGAAGACGATCCAAGTGCTTTTGGTGAAGTCTTCCAGGCAGCCAATTGCCAGACCTGGAGCTTCAGGTGCCGAGCCAAGATAGACAATTTCGGCGACCAGCAGCGGTAAGAATGATCGAATGACTATGATTATAATTATGTGAACATCATACTAATTGTGCCATCTAGTGTGCGATATCAGGTCTCATCCTCCCAGGCAATCGATTACTCGGATGAAGCCTCTCGCCTTGCCGATATCATCAACTCCTACAGCCTTGAGTAAGTGTCGGCAAAGTGAGCAAATATCTTTGTCCAGCTTTGTACTAGCTTTACTATTTCTACATGCGCTCAGAGATTTTCATCAATGTTCATGTGTATTTTTATGGTGTTCGAGCCACGCTATGACCATTTCATTAACGGCTTCTCACCTTGAAATTTGTTCTTTCCCTCCTATTTAGTACTCTAGAAAAGCCATACCTAGTCATTGTTTTTCGCTACTATCATCTCATTGACGAGCAAATCTACAATCTGGGTAGTCCACCTGGGCAGGGCATCACTGGTTCGAATTGTTATGAGGCGGTAAGCTAACAAAGGCGGAAGTCAGTGGCAATACACTATTATCGCTTTTCCTTTTTGCTTTTTTTTTTCTTTTTTTCTTTTTCTGCTGGAACAATTCAGGCAGAGAATTCAGTCTCTAGCTCTTTTATCTTTTGATTCCAATAATATTTTGTTATATCCTTCTACTAAAATCCTCGTCATGGGTAAACGAAGCCATCTCGAGGCAAATGAGCAGCGACCGAAGAAAAAGTCCAAGTCCGAGAAGCCCGAAAAAGCTTCTAAAGATAAGCAGGAAAATGGAGATGAGAAGACTGCATCTTATTCTGATGCCTCTGCTCTATCTGAGATCCCTCAGTCAGACATCGACAGCTTTTTGACTGAGAACGTGATCAAGATTGCTGATCCCTCCTCACCCGACGCCTCCCAATTCCGCCCAATCCTTTCGTTTGATCACCTACCTGAATGCGATGCTGGTCTGTACGCTCAATTGAAGTCTTTCCCTAAGCCAACGCCAATTCAATCCACCACCTGGCCGCTTCTTTTTGCTGGCCGTGATGTGATTGGTATCGCAGAGACTGGAAGTGGCAAGACACTGGGTTTTGGCTTGCCGTGCTTGAAGAAATTGATTGACTCCAAGTCAAGCAAGAAGCCTTGCCAACCCAAGGCAGTGATTATTTCACCAACGCGAGAGCTTGCAATGCAGATTTATGACCAGCTTGTTAAATTCGGCGGCACTGAGAAGACTCAGGTGACATGCATTTACGGAGGTGTGGGTAAAGATGAACAGCGTCGGGCTCTTCAAAAGGCCGCCATTGTGGTTGCCACTCCTGGCCGTCTTAAGGATCTCCAGAGTGATGGTTCCATTGATCTTGGAAAGGTCAATTACCTCGTATTGGATGAGGCAGATCGCATGCTTGACAAAGGATTTGAGCAGGATATCAAGGATATCGTCAAGCCAATGCCCGTCTCCAGGAGACAGACTGTCATGTTTACGGCAACATGGCCCCGGTCGGTTCGAGATCTCGCAGCAACCTTTATGAAGACCCCGGTAACTGTCACCATTGGCGGAGACCCATCTGCGGACCCCCGAGCCAACTTAAGGATCAAGCAAGTCATCGAGGTCATGGATGGCCGAGAGAAGGAGAGCCGTCTCATACAACTACTCACTAAATCCCAGCGTGGTCATCCATCCCCCGAGAAAGTCCTGGTTTTCTGCCTCTACAAGAAGGAGGCTATGCGCATTGAGAATCTCATCAGAAACAAGGGATTCTCAGTCGCCGGCATTCACGGTGATTTGAACCAATCAGATAGATTCCGAAATCTCGATGCTTTCAAGAGTGGAAATGCTACTGTTCTTGTCGCAACCGATGTGGCAGCGCGTGGTCTTGATATCCCGAACGTGAAACTGGTGATTAATGTCACATTCCCTCTTACCGTGGAGGACTACGTGCACCGGATTGGAAGAACTGGACGTGCTGGGGCTGATGGTCTTGCCATCACCATGTTTACTGAAACTGACAAGGGACTGTCCGGCGGGTATGTTACTCATTTTCAACATTCTAGAAATCATCAGGATAGTGCTAATTGTGAATAGATTGATCAATGTTCTCAAGGCAGCCAAGCAGGATGTGCCAGAGGCACTGTTGAAGTTTGGCACAACAGTCAAGAAGAAGCAGCACGATGTGTACGGTGCCTTTTACAAGGATGTTGATATGGACAAAACAGCGACAAAGATCACATTTGACGACTAATTGGTTCATTCCGACTTGAGATATTTCCTGGAGGATCTGGCGGGTAACATGTGACGAAGCCTTGTCAATTGACCCATCAAATATTCCCTTTCTATGTAGACTCTGTTATTTTTATTGGTTAGGCGTTAAGAACGAATCAACATCATATCAGATTCAGACCAAGTACTCACATTAGGAGAGCATAGCTGCCACTTAAGGCGCATGCTTTGACAAGTCCCAATTTCAGGCCAAATCCGCGGCTCAAGCACAAACTTGCCAGAGCACATAGAATGAAGCTAGCAGGTCGAACAGCCACTTCACTTGTGTACAGGCTACATCCATTTCGATGGAGGTACGATTTGATAAAACTGTAACTCCAAAAGGTTCGAACTACCATGTTCACAATGTTGGCCAGGACCAATCCATACGCACCCAGGTTCCCTACTTCTAGGAACATATAGGCCGCTAAGGCATAGCAGGCGGAAAACACACCCATCCACGCCGTTTGCTTCCGTATCTGTTGCGAATTTGCTGCAGATGACACGAACGCTTCGGTGATCCCATTAAATGCCAAAAATGGAATATAGTAACAATAGACGGAGAGCAGGTCTCCGATTCTGGGGGACGCCCATTGACGCCCTCCCAAGATATGCAGCAAGTGAGGAACCATCATTGGGCCTAACGGGAATATCAGGACTGAGAGCAACTGGTACGCGCGTAGGATCTCAATGAGGTGATCTCTGGCGGTGCGGACATGGATCTTCTTCAGCTTTCCATCCTCATTGGGGCTCAGTAGGGCCGAGAATAAGTTCCGGCTGCTCTCCTCCAGCGGCTGAAAGACGATCCGTGCAATGAGACCGCCGTAGTTTGACGCAAGAGAGTATATCCCCTGATCTTCTAATCCTGAGAGAGCTGCGAGCATCATAGTGTCGCCCTGCGTGAGCAAATGCTTCACCAGAGACTGGAAAAAGACATTTGCAGCAAGTGACGTTAACTGGCGTGAGAACCGTCCCAGAAAGTAGTTAGAGGGGTCCCTAGAAATGGTTACCGCGTTGTTCTCCGTCCTATATATAGCTTGGAAAAGCTAAGATCTGTCTTACCTGGATTGTATACGTGTCAATAAGAAAGAGAACCGGGTAGTGTTGGTTCCTCTGAGCAGGGCCAGCGAGTAGCCACAAATGAGGGCCAGCGAGTAACTGAGGTGACCAAGAGCAAATGGTAGCACACCGAGGTCATAGTCGACTTGAGAAGCATATATAAAGGCAGAGGATGTCACCGCACTTCTCAGAAATGCCGCTGGCATTTCAACAGCAGCACGTTTCTCGTAAAGCATATGTTGCTGTACTACCGAGAAGAAGGGCTCAGTGCTGAGTTCCATGAGAGATGCGACCCCAATCAGGATCACACTGGGGTAGAAGAAGGCGGTCTTTGATGCTTCCTCTGGGACAAAGCGCTGGTAAAGCATAGTGAACATAAGACTGGAAGGAATACCAAGAGTGAGGCTCAAGTAAGAGACGTTCACCACTGCTTGAGATGCCACAGAGTGTGGATCCGTCGTTGCGACAACATCTGCTTCAAGAGAAGGGTTGTTGTTGTCGGGCGAAGATGGAATAGGTTGCCTTTGGATAGCCATCCGAATACTTTCCCGCGAGAAATACAGGATTGAAACCTGGAAGAGCTCCAGCTGTGCCGCTATTCCAAGCACGACCGGCGAAAGGGTGCGTAAAATCAATTGGTTCGAGGTAAATGTAAAGATCCTGGATGCTAACTGAATCAAAATTAAAAAGCTTGTGCCTGTGGCCGACGACGCCAGAATCTTGCCCATACGGGCATCGTCAGGCTTAGCCATGCCCATGTTTGAACCCAGCTATGACAGTGGATTGCAATTGTGCTCAAATCAAGGGAATCAAGACTTCTAGGCGGGAGGTGTAAGGTTCAAGGGGTTGTAAAGGATGTGAAGAAAGAAGGGTGGGGCCTACTCGAGGGGCCTGACGTTGTAGCTTAAGGCTTTTTGAGAAATGGTAGATATTTGCCAGATGAAATTAAGGACGGTCTTAAAAAAATAAGTATAAAAGGTATACCAATCTACAATCAATCTAAGACCTACGTGTGAATTCACTTGGTCCCCCGGGGCCCCGGGGGCCATACTTGCTTACGTGTAGCCCGGGATGCCGACCTCGGGTCTCCCTGAGCCCTATATAGGTACCTAGGGTACTTACCTCCAGGGGGCTAGGCATGGCTACATAGATATGGGTACAGACTAATCGTGAAATTTCTTTCAAAAGAACCTGTGATGTCTGGTATGCAAAATTTTCATGGCAAAGGAAAAGAGGTTCGATAGGTCAAAATCCGCAAACCACCGTGCTTCTTCCAAGTCCTCTGGCTGCCTCCTGAGAGGTCTTGATGAATACCGATTTCTGCTGGTCATCATTTACAGAAATGCCTGGAGAGATCTAGCCACTGGGATGTTAATGATAGTCTGTCGATCAATATGTTTCCAGGTGCAGCCATCTTCGGGCTGTTGATCAACTAGGCTCTTGAACACTCTAGAATGGTGGCAAATAGAATGGATAGCCACCATTCTTGGTTTTGAAGACACTGAGAAGGAAGCTGTATGTTGCAAAAAGAACAGTTGCCCAGATCAATACAGCCAGCTGTTGACCCTTGACATCTTCCATCCGGGGAACCTTCAGTGCGAGTGCGATCGTAGCGAAGGAAAGGACAGCGTCTGTGCGAGTAAAATGTTAACCTAGGAACTCGGCATGGAAACGACGCTTAGTATTAATAAGCCTTACGATTATCACTTACAGATGGCAGCCACAATCTGAGTCTCCAACCCGAACTGGTTCTGGAATCCACCGGCAAAATAGCTAATGCCACCTTGGCCATTGCCAGCAACATATGGGACTTTTCGGATGTGGTTGAACATTTGACCACTTGTGAACAGAAGAATAGCAATAAGGCTGATCGCAGCCCAAAGGTTTCGGTTTTGGATAATTGGCAGCAGGTAGGGAGAAAGGACTGCAATCACAGTTACAACTGCCATCAGAATGGTGATCGCTGATACAATCCGCATGTAATTGATGGGTCGAACTAGTTGCGGCTTGGGGCCTTCGGGCAAGTGGCGTCCAATCCAAGAGTAGACCTGATCGGCTGAGACCGGGCTGTTTGGGATTGACATGTTAGTGAGATAGGGGCCGGGCGCAAGAGCTTGAGTGGGGGAAAAAACAACTTACCCTGTGAAATCAAACCGGAGAGGGTTCCCTTCAACCTTAGCAAAGGGACCGATGGTAGGAGGAAAGACAAGGAGTATGGGTGCAGTTTGAAGCATGAGCTGCTTAGGTTAGTCGCATGTTATACAGCTCCGTCTTAAGTAAAATTTCCTACCTTTTGGAAAACGGCCTTGCCGTTATCAAAATCAAGTGTTCCAAAGACTACCTTGAGGTCATCAGGCTTGGTGCCCTTGGTCCAGCTTCGGGCGATCAGGTCCCATTCAGATTCAAAGTCACGGCATAAGAGGCAGCCAAAACGGGGATCCGTGGCAGTCAGGATAACCACAGCATAGTAATCTCGAGGTGCCGAGGTGAGGTCTTCATATGATGTACTGTCCAGATCAACAGGCCCCGAGCGAGACAGGGATTTATATCTTGTAAACTTGTCCGGTGTTGAGCTCGCAGACAGGACACCAGACACAACCGAGAAAAAGAGAAAAAGGGCCGTCCAGAGCTTCATTTTGGCATGACAAGGAGCTGGAAAGCTTGAAAGAGGTTAGTTATAAAGTGCAATTGATTGAAAAACTATCAATCAGTTGCAATTGAAGATGTTTGAACACGTTAAGTAATAAAGTCCAGGTGTCCACTATCAACGTAATCGGGCATATCGGCTTACTTAATATATTGGTCCCGGCGCCAAAACATCGCGTCTTCCTTGGGGACGATTTATACTTTGAACAAGCATTGGATATAACCACACATATCTTACCTAGGTGTTTCTATTGCTCTGGAAAGACATCATTCATTCTATAAGCCTTTCCGTTCTATTTTCTCATATCGAAAAGCTGCCTTATTGTGGACACTGTCGTCATGGCAATGGCCGAAGAAGCATCCACCTTGGATGTATGTGGCTTCCCTGGATTGATAGAGATATGCCCAAGATACTGACTAGATTATGTAGTCTGAAATGTCCATGAGGACTATATGCCTGGAGAAGGAGTATGAGAAGACTCTTTCGGATTCTGCTCGTCTTCTGGACGGCGAGAGAGATCGCGTACGACGCATGGAGCTCTTGCTCTCGAGATTCGAGAATGAAGCTCTCCGATCGCAGCTGGAGGAAACAAATAGGTATCTGCTAGGATTCACGGGTGCTGATTCAGAGGCATGTGTTCAACTTCAGCAGGCTTGCCAGGAAATCGATCATTTGGAGCTTCAAGCACAGGCATCCGCGAGTGAGATTGACCGGCTCAAAGTAAGTCTTCGCTCAATCTGGAGGCTGAATGCGTAATCCGTTATGTTGACAGCAACAGGAAGAACTCTCAATTCAGAAAAATAATTCGACGAGTTACAGTACTATCCTTGCAGAGAAACTCCATCTCTCTAGAGATCTTTCAATGCTACAGTCAAAGCTTGAGCGGTTCAAAGCGCAAAACGCATCATATCAAGCTATCATTTCTGAGAAACATGAAATGGAACGGCAAATGAACTCTCTGGAGCTTCAACTTGACAATGAAAAACATTCCCATGAACGTACTCAGGCCAAGGGATCACAGCAAATGACAGAAATTGCCCAGCTTTCTACTCGAGTTGAAGAGTTGCGGAATGAGCTAGCGGGAGAATTGCGAGCCAAACAGCAGCAGGAACGGGACAACCGACAACAGAACTCGGCATGGGCCAACCAGCGGGCGACGTTTGAAGGAAAGATTGATTCGCTCAAGCAGCAATTGCGGTCAACCAAGGACAAGCTCCAGGAAGCCCAGATTGAGATTCAGCAGCGACGCAGCCTCAAATCACAAGCAGGAAATGACTCCGAATCTAGTTCTCGAACAGTTCCGCTTCAGCGCCCTGGCCCGAGTGGTCATGCCGGCGTCACAATTGCAACCCCTGGGGCTGTTCGTGTACAAGAGAAATTGAAGAAAGATTCGGCCGTGCCTGGTGATAAGTCGGCGTTTTCCATCACTCCATTCTTGAACCGCACAGGCGCACCTTCGGATTCGCCAATGAGTTCGGTTGGAGATGAAGTCGAGATTCTTGGCGATACTGATACTCCTCGTGGGCAACTTGGCACGCTAGGCACTTTTGGCGAACCAAGGCGTATCGGTTCTGCCCTTCGGCGCCAGCTATCTCCAACAGAAGACCGCATTCCAATCACAAAACCCACCAAACCAAGGGCACGTGAGGGCGAAGTGCCTGTCTCAGGACCGGAAAATGAGATCAAGAAATCAACTCATCGCCTAGATCGCAGGATGCCACCCACTGAGACCGATAAGTTACATGAGCTGTTTGAGCATGAGCAGGCCAAGCCGAAGAAACGCAAACTTGGTGGTCAGCGGGATCGAAGCTTGTTCGAGGAGGATGAAGAAGAGCCTCACCCTAACAAGAAATTTGGGCGAAAACTTGCAGTCGGAAATGGTCGGGCTTCAACTCTGGGGAGTAAGACACAAGCTAGTACCTCTAATTTACCACGGGCGCTCGGGCTTGGGGCAGCACCCATGGGATTCTCTCCCTTGAAAAAAGACCGCAAACGATTTTAGTGTATCTATTGGAAGTTCCATCCATATTTATTCACCAGACTCTACTACATTTAATGTAGACATGTAGATTGGAATATCCCATGTCAAGGTCACGATAAGAGATAACCGACTTGAGGGTTCGGCGGTCCTTTCTGTTTTGCCGGCAGAAAATAAAAGGCTTCCCATTGCTCTCAGGACTCCAATTATTTCCCCTGAGATTATTCAATTAGCACTATGTTTGCTTTACGTTCAATTCGATTCTGGCAGAATGCCTGCTATCAACAGGCAATTGGTCAAGTAAGGCATGCATCGTCCAAGCGCTGGCAAGCCCGGCAGCAAAAAGATCAATTCACCAGAGAGGCAGCTGTCCAAGGGCTGAAAAGCCGTGCTGCTTTCAAACTGCTGCAGGTAATCCAACACTAATATTACTTTATTTTCCTGCATTGATCTAACACACTGGTACCTGTGATTAGATTGATGAGAAATATCGAATCTTCAAGGGTGGGCAGACAGTTGTTGACTTGGTATGCTAGTCGCTCAAACTGAACTCGGATCATTGTTTAATTCGTTCCATTTAGGGTTATGCTCCGGGGTCATGGTCACAGGTGTGTCAACCATTCTTCTTTTGCCTTTGACTGATCCCCATCCCCTTTGCTGTCAAACGAGCCGTAATTAATTGCCAGAGAAGGTTGCTGCAAGCCGTACCCAACCGCATGGTCGAGTCCTTGGTGTCGATATAATTCCAGCCCAACCACCGAAAGGAGTGTCTACAATCCAAGGCAATTTCCTCGCACCAGAAATTCAAACATACATCCGAGACTTTCTCCGCAGTCCAGACAGAGGCAGGCCGCGCCAACCCGGCTTTCTAGACGATTCCAGTATCAGTCTATTAGAGCCGAATTCAGATAACGACCGCACGACCGAGGCCGAGAAGACGGATATCAGGGGTGATAAGATACTTGAAAGAACGGTAGATGTGGTTCTTAGCGATATGTCTGCTCCCTGGCACCAGACCTCCGGTTTCTGGAAACGAAGTCTAAGTGCTCCTTATAATAGGATGATGAACACCAGCGGTGTCACCTTCAGAGATCATGCTGGAAGTATGGTATGAATTCTTGTTACTCAATTGGTAAGTGTGAAACGCTTCTGACTTTACGCAGGATCTCTGCCACGCGGCTTTGCGCTTCAGTTCGGATGTTCTGAAGGCAGGCGGTCATTTCGTCTGCAAATTCTACCAAGGTGCCGAAGACAAAGAGCTGGAGCAGCAGCTGAAGGAATTATTCAAAAAGGTTCATCGTCTGAAACCCGAATCTTCTCGCAGTGTATGATTTGCCTTGTCCAATTTATACACACCCACCGACTAAAGCAATTGGCAGGAATCCAAGGAGGCCTTTTTCGTTGGCCTGGAGCGAAAATCGTGAGACTAAAGCTATTTCGGACTTACATATCGGCAGATCGCACTGCGGCCGAAGAGCCGAACCATGCTGTCTATCTAAAGGATCTCGATGTCCTCATTGTCAGAGGCCTCGTCCCACTCAATATCAGCTAGTGCTGCTTCCGCCTTCTCGTGAACCTTCCTATGTGTCAGTCTGGGATTGAGTCGTTTCATAGGCACTGACTAACCTCTTTTAGTCCACTCAATTCTTCAACATATCCATGTTCATTCAGAGCTCTTCGGACGAAGTCCCAACCCTGCTCGCGGTATGCACTGACAATCCTATCCGAGCATGCACTGCAGCTTGGATAGCTTTTGCCGGTGACAGACAAGTTCTCGAAATTTGAGAGAAATCCTCGTATTTGATGAGGCACAATGCCTAAGGGATGATCATCACGCTCGGTATTGCGAGCCATGGGGGCCGGTGCGGCAGCACCTTTGGGGTGCTGAAGGAGTGACACAAAAAGCTCCACCAAAAGTGCAGAGGCTATAGGAGCCACTCCAGGACGGGTCACTGTACACTGCTGGTCGAGAGTTTGATCTTTGATTGACTATGCCGCAGTCAGTTTTGTATAAAGCAGGTCCCTCATTTGGATAATCTTACATTAGCCGGTGCTACCACATCGTTGCAGAAATAGCACCCAAGCTCGGCTGGCATATCTTCATTCTCCATGATACCATGGCGCATCACGACAAAGGAGTCAAACCCTAGGGCTGCATTCATCACGATTTTCCCTGCCGCCTTTCCCATCACTGTAGGCAGCCATCGTGATTCTCGGGTATCCATCAGGAGGAAGATAGCATCATGTTCATCAATCAATGTTTTAAGACGATCAAAATCGGACCTTGTCACCTCTTCGTCCACAATAAGATGGCCGGCCATGGGCACCGAGAGCACATGACCGGTAGTCTCTACTCCTGGGTAAATTTGGGTTAGGGCTTCGGATGCTCGATGTGCTTTTCGGACGCCACCGTTCAAGCAGTCTTCAAAATTGAATAGTGGCTGCCGAACAGGGTTAGAAAACGAAACGGTTCCGTTGTCGACGAATGTGATGTTCTTCACGCCCCAGCCCTATATAGTCGATGATCAGAATAATAGTTTTCGGGCGCGGAGGTTGACGTCCACATACTAGCAGATTCCGGGAGACGTAGCTACCTAATGTACCAGCTCCTAGCAAGAGACATTTCGTGTGCTTGATTTTCTCAAGGTCGAGCGTCGGGCTGATCCGCCATTTGATGAGTTTGAGGTTGAGATCGACCGACTGGTCTGCTAACCTTTAGGAGAAGTTAGCTTCCCTGATCAAGTCTTCCGGTTGGATATCTTCAAATGAATACCATACCTCTTGGGATCCATGTACTCCGTAAGATTGACAACTCTCCCCGCTAATTTCCCAGTCGAGTTACGTTCCCAGCCGGTCACCTTGGGCAGCGGTAACGACACTTGACTTTGCAGTGATTTTGGGGCCTGGGGCTCCTCTTTCGAACACGACTCCAGCTGGATTACTGTACTGCGCCCCTGATCACGCTTCGCGTGCACGTCGCGATAGCGTATCAATTGCACCCGCTCGAGGCCCCATCGCTGCTTGATCAGAACGAGCAAGTTTCTTAGCATCCATCCTGGGGCCTGCTCATAATTTGATGGGTCTGAAAAACAGAAATAGCGGTCTTCCGCAGCGACATTCTTGAAGAACCCATTTTCGTATTCAGAAAGTGACGCTATCTGCCAGTTGTTATCTGGTGTGTCATCTTGTTGGGCACTACTCGTCTCGGAGTCGCCTGGATATGCGTTATCGGAACGCTGTCTGGTTTTTCGAGCCAAAAAGAATCCTCGTTGTCGATGATCCACAATATATGACCATGTTTGCACCGCTTCCACCAAGTCAGTGCTCTCATGTGGAGATAAGTGTGTTCCCTTCAAATTGTCGATATCATGGCCCTGGTGTTTCTGGGATGCTTGATTTGTTGGTTTCACAGGGACCCATTGAGGGTCTGAATGAATTGCTGGGAAAGCAAACCAGTAGTGGAACTTGTATTTTTTGAGATCGGCAAAAGATATAATCACAAAACTGCAAAGTAAAGAGGGGGATGACAGTATTGTTCCATCGTGAATGGCATCCCATATCTTGGAGTTCTTATTAGTATATATCTCTCTCCGGGGGAAATAATTAATTCCTACCATTTGTCCAGCTTGATGGAGCAGTTGGGATCTGTCCATGTTTCGATATTCTTCAACGGTATTGACATTTTTAATCATGCCATCTGCTCTGTAATAGCCAGCTGGTGCCCTATGTCGCTGTTAGAGGAGTTTTATAAACATTTCGTTTATCTTACTCGCTGCTAGTGAGGGCGTTCCCATGAATTTGGATTCGACATGACGCAGCCTCGGGGTCAGAAGGACGGATCTCATATAGCCCCAGAACTGGCCGGGCGGAGTCATCTAGTTTGTCATGATTGATCTTATGGGAAGCCAGTGAAGTATAGAAAGGTAATTCGATATCGGAAGCAAACGGTGTGTACTGCATCTTGAAGGACCAGGTAGAAAACGAAGAAAGGATCAATTACCAGATGCAGATAACGTTGTAGCAGTTAGGGGGGAAAGAGGGTGTAAAGGTGTCAATAGGTGTAAAAGGAGGTGAAAGGGTCTGATGTCACGAGAGAAGAGGGGCTTATCTATCTTCACGTCCACTACGCCTGAGGTCTTTGCTTTCAAGGTCTCCTGTCTTTCTATATATTTATATGAGAGATCTACTAATATATATATATATATATATAAACACGTACATATAAGGGGCTATGTGTACCTTGGTAAATATTAGATCATCAGACTATAATCTCGTGAACCTAACATCTGACTTCTGCTGAACACGCGATCTACTGAAATATGTAAGCCTCTATTATATTGTACATTGAGGATAATTAAACTCTTATAGTTATGTAAAATATATACATGCATATATGTAGTTAGTTACCTCCAGGACTGCCCAACCTTGGAATATCCCATATCAGGCCGATAAGATCAGGCTGATAAGATCGCGTCGCGACTTTCCCGTTAACTATGCCCCACTGCTTGTTTCTCTTCTCTTCTTTTCCTTCAACACTATTGAACACCTGAGAAATGCTTATCGGCTTATGTGGAGGTCAGCAGATAGTCGCAAACGAGCCCCTCACACCGCATCAACTAACGAGGATATACTCGCAAAAGGTATTTGCGCTGGCAAACATGCGATTGCTGAGTACCTGATTCAGCAAGGGTTTCAGCTTCTTGAACTCACCGGCAAATCCCAATCCCACATCACTGAATCGGGGGATGACTTGCGACTGCAAGCGTCGGAGATCCGAAAGAAAGAGGATCCAAAGTCGCCAGAGCTTACATTTCAAGATGCCGACTCTCTACTTGACTTTGCGACGAAGAGATGGCAAGAACGCTGGGTCACCACAGATATTGCAGATGCCACTACCCTAGATCGATTCCTCTTACGTCCATTTTTCCTCCTCGTGAGCGTCGATGCACCAGTTAGCCTCCGATGGAAACGATTTGCCGACAGGTCCGTGATGATACGTGTATAACTAAAGCCCGAGAGCTGACCGTTTCTTTTTTTCCTAAAAAAAAGATGTTGGAGAAGACAACTGGATCCGCCTGAGCTTGAAAAGTTCGTAATGTGGAACGACCATAATCTTTACGACAAAGAGATTGGACGCGTATACTTGACCGACAGAGCCCAAGTGCGCTTATTCAACTCCTCCTCGTCCCTCGAAGAGCTACACTCGGCTTTGCAGACCCTCGACCTGGCAGACGAACAACGGTTGAGGCCAAACTGGGACCAGTATTTCATGCAGCTGGCCTCTCTTGCCGCCCAAAGAAGCAACTGCATGAAAAGAAGAGTGGGATGTGTGCTCGTTCGAGAGAGTCGCGTGATCAGCACAGGATATAATGGGACACCACGGCATCTCCAGAACTGCAACCAAGGTGGATGTACGATGCAGGCCAGAAGCAGATAATCTTAATGATCCTATTGTTCATGTGGCTTACTGGAAATCATTACAGGTCCACGGTGCAATCGCGGGGATGGAGGAGGAGTCGGCCTCTCAACCTGCCTTTGCCTTCACGCCGAAGAAAACGCATTATTGGAAGCAGGCCGAGAGCGGATTCGAGAGGGGGCGATCCTATATTGTGATACGTGAGTCCACTTCACCCCTAAATGAACCATGCCAAAGACAAAATCTTACTGTGGATCGCAGATGCCCTTGCTTGACATGCACTGTCAAGATAGCCCAAGTTGGGATTTCGGAGGTTGTCTACTCTCAAGGGTATAACATGGACAACGACGTAAGCCAATGCTTGTCCGCTCCATGAGGTTTCATAATCTAATTTTAACATACAGAGTGCAGCTATCTTGCAAGCAGCAGGCGTACGGCTACGACAATTCCACCCGGTAGCCAATCTTCCTTCTACACCCTTACCTCTTTTACACATAACTAACTGTAAGGTCACACACAGCCTTCGAATGGACTCATCTATCTTCAGGGATCTGAGCGACCAGTCACAACCGAAAACCAATAACCTACTATACGATGGAGGCGTGGAGCAATTCGATCTTTTTGAAGAGAAATATGCTTCTGCATCAGTGAATATTTGCATCACCCCTGGCTATATCAAAGTTATTGTACAAAGTGACTTGTCCAGATAAGATTTCAATTGAAAGGGGGTCCTTGATGGAAACTAAATGTCCTAGGGCTATGTAGTATGGATATTCTACATATGACTCAGAGTTACTTAAAAGTACAAAAAGAACTTAGATTGTGTAGTAATTATCCGTTCTGAAGAAGTACCCCGGTGTATCTCCCTTCTCCGCATTTTGTCTGGCAGAAAAAAAAAAAGAGATATGACTCAGCGTGCGAATTTTGGCGGGGTCCTCAAGGAACCCCTCGATGGTCTCTACAGCTGGATTCTTTACCGTGTTGGTAGCATAACATCGATAATCCACT